TCCAGGCTACGAGCTGGCAGTCAGCACAGAGCCCGACGCGGGGCTCGAACCCACAAACCGCGAGATCATGACCTAAGCGAAAGTCGGACGCTTAACCGACTAAGCCACCCAGGCGCCCCTTTACTGTTTTTTTCTATTGTTTTATTGTCTTTCTGTTTTCTATTTCAATTATTTTCACTTTAATCTTTTTTAATTCTGTGCTTACTTTGGGCTTTATTTGCTCTTCCATTTCCAGTTTCTTAAAGTAGAAACTGAGGTAATTCATTTGAGACATTTGTTACTTTCTTTTTTTTTTAAAGTTTATTTATTTTTTAAGAGAGAGGGAGCAGGGCAGGGTCAGAGAGAGAGGGAGAGAGAGAATCCCAAGCAGGCTCTGAGATGTCGGCACAGAGGTGGGGCTTGAACTCATGAACCAGGAGGTGATGACCGGAGCCAAAACCAAGAGTCCAACACTTAACTGACTGAGCTACCCACGTGCCCCTGTTATTTTCTAATAGAGATATTTTTAATACTGTGAGGTTTTCTCTAGGAAGTACTTTAACTGCATCCCACACATTTTGATATTTTTTCATTTTCATTCAGTTCAAAAAAACATTAGAATTTTCTCTTAGATTTTTTATTTCACTTATGTGTTATTTAAATGTGTGTTTAGTTTCTAAATATTTGGAGATTTTCCAGGGATCTTTCTGTTACAGATTTCTAATTTAATTCCATTGTGGTCAAAGAACAAACGTTTTTTGTTTTTTTTTTTTAAAGTAGACTCCACCCCCAAAGTGGAGCTTGAACTCACAACCCTGAGATCAGGAGTTGGATGCTCTACTGACTGAGCCAGCCAGGTGGCCCCCAGAAGTGACTCTAATCTTTTAAATTTAGTGACGCTTGTTTTATGGTTGTGAATATGATCAATCTTGGTAAATATTTCATGTATGTATGAAACTATTTCTCAGAGGTTTTTTGTGTTTTTTTTTTTTTAACGCTTATTTATTTATTATGGTGGGAGGGCAGAGAGAGAGGGAGAGAGAATCCCAAGCAGGCTCCATGCTGTCAGCACAGAGCCCCACATGGGGCTCAAGCTCATGAATCATGAGATCATGACCTGAGCCAAAATCAAGAGTCAGATCCTCAACTGACTGTCAGGTGCCCCTAAGCATTCCTCAGTTTTAACCATCCATAGTTTTGTCATTATTATTTAGTTACATTAATAGTAATTTTTTAAGTTACGTTAATAGTAATTTGGGGAGGGTAAAGTTACCATCTTGAATCAGAGTATGTCTGTTTGGTGTCCTCAAGCTCCTCAAAGGCAGGCTCTGTGTCCTGCCTGCCTCTCTGTCCCCTCAACATTTTTCCTGGCCCCAAGTGGAGGCTCAGCAGACCCTGGTTGACACTCAGAAATAGTTAGACTGCGATCTTGTTTTTAGTTCAGAAAAGATCCCTCTTCTGACAGGACTGAGACTTCCACACCTTTATGTGTTTGAATCCCTACAAGACTTGGCACCTAGCTCGTAGCTCGACACATCTCAGGGGCTCAGGCAGCGATGGCGGCATTGAATGGAACTGAAGAGATAGCTACAGAGGTGCCGCCCCTGACTGGTGGGGGTTTAAAGCCACCGTGAGGCAAGTGACAAACTGCTCGGGCCACAGTTGAAGAGGCTGTCCTGTCATAAAGCCCCCTAGGACATGATGTCACACACAGACACGCTCTCCTTGCAGAAGGGAGGGGCTGTGCCCTGGACTCCCAGACTGGGCTGGGCTGCGGTGCCCTACACAGGCTCGGCCCTGGAGCCAGAGGGACGTGACTAGGCTGCCGGGCACTGAAAGGGTCAGAGGGTCCTCTGCAAATCGCGAACACCATCAAGGTTGGCAGGCTCCAAGGGCTGCCCTCGGGAAAGCACCCAAGCAGGTGGAAGTGGTCTTTGAGACTCTCAGCTTACCTTTCCTGCCTGGCCCTCCCCTCCTCCCTCTTCCTCTCTCCCTCAGGAATCCTTTACTCCCCTCTCCTCCTCCAAACCGCCTCTCGGAAAAAGCCTGATAACTTTGCTCACACCAAGTTGGAAATGACTAGAAAGCTTCCTGTTGAATATGTTGCCAGCACTTTTCTCAGAGAAGGTGACTCTGGACAAGGGAGGCACCGTAGTGCTGCCAGAGAGCCGGAGTGAGCCACGCCTGGAAAGGGCCCACTGGCTCTGGTGGCTCAGCACTATTGGTGACCTTGGCGAGAGAGGTTTTGGAGGTTTGCGGGGACAGGACCACGCTGAAGCAGCCGTGGAGTAAGGGGAGGAGAGAAGACACTCCCTGCAGACAGCCCATGGGCTGGTGTGCAGGATGGGGGGCCATCACAACAGTAGCTGGGAAGGGATCTGGTTCAAGGGAGAATGGCCTTTTTTTTAATGGAACACAGGAGTGATGTGTGACTTGCTGATTAGGGGCCAGTAGAGAAGGAAAGCCTGAATATACCAGTGAGAGAGGGGACCCCCAAACACCCAGGCTGTGAGACCGGATGGACTGGAGCATAGAGTGGGGCTGGGCCCGGAGGGCAGAGGGCAGCTGCGTCCCTGAAGACGAAATGGCCTGGGAGAAGCAGAGAGGCGGCAGAGAGTTAAGGGAACTCCCATCCCCATCCGGGGGTGTCTGTGTTCTCTGCTGAAAGTGGGGAAGGCGGGGTTGGGGTGGAGGTTTAAAGGGAGATTCTGAAATAGTCCCTGGGGAGAATGGGGAGCTCCCTTGGGAAGCAGAGGCCCCGGGCCACACTGGGTCCAGCTCACATTGGAGACCTTGACTTTGCAATGGTGTTGGTTTGGATGGAATTGGACTCCGATGGTGGGATTTCAGACAGAGAGGTTATTTTGAAGAGGCTAGCGATCTCCCGCAGGACTCCTAAATTATACTAGTAAATAATAATGATCAAAAGCTACCAACCCTTTTGAGTTATTTTCTGTTATGCAGCACTTCTGCAATAATTAGCTACCTACATCTGGGGTTACTTTTTACCAAGCGTTCGATAGAGTGATCCCCTTTTCCTTAATCCTCTCCCAGCTGCCTTTTCTCAGCCTGATTCTCTGGGAGCTACCTTCCAGCTCTGAGGCTGTAGAAACCAGCTTTCATTTGGGACTCTGAGGTCTTGGGAGAAATCCGTGAGCATTTTCCAAGCTCTCATCGCTAGCCCACTCCGTCCCGAGTTTGGTCTCCAGCTGTGACCTGCGGGCCGTCCCCGGGCTGCGCCCTGTGGCCAGATGTCCTTGCCATTCCCCCAGCTGCCTCTGGGCCACTGCAGTCCCTACAGCCACCAGGGAAAGGAGCGCTGGGGTCCCTAGCCTGCGGGATGCATTGACTGGTGACCATTTTTTCTTCTCAGACTGAAAATGTTGTTTGGACTGTGCTGTCAGAGAGAGAGGTGAGGTTTAAATGGGCCCTGTTCCAGGGGCTCCAATCACCAGGAAAGGGGACCCCTTTTGGATCTCAGAGGAAGGGGAAATAGGGTTCTGAGTCCCCTTTCCTTGACTGTTACAGGATCCCTGTGACTCAGGGTTGGGCTGGAGGGCCTAGTCCTGACAGGTGGGGGACATGCCTGTGTGCGTGTGTGTGCAAATGTGTGAGCACATGTGTGAATGTGTGTGTGCACGTGTGAATGTGTGTGCGAATGTGTGAGCACATGTGTGAATGTGTGTGTGCATGTGTGAATGTGTGTGCACACGTGTGAATGTGTGTGCACGTGTGTGGATGTGTGAATGTGTGTGCACGCACACACACGCACACTGGGAGCCAGTGTCCTGCCAGTGTCCAGATGCTCTGCTTGTCTCACGGGAGGGGCCCCAGAAGAGGAGGATGAGTCCTGGGGATACTATTTCTGATCCGGATTGTGGGATCTGCCCAGAGTAGGGGGGGTGCTTTCGAGGACTCTGGGGAGAAGAGCTGACCCTGTGCTGAATGAGCAGCTACGAATGTCCAGCCAAGGCTGGGTCCTTGCTTCCTGGCCGGGAAGGCAAGGCGGACCCGTGGAACAAGTACAAAAGGAAGGGAGAAGGCCGCGTGCTCCGGGCTCCAGGTCTGGCTGCCAAAGCCGGCAGAGGCGCTGAGCCTTGCCTGCCAGGCGGCGGGAAGCCCGGGCTGAGCCCCGTTACAGCCGCAGGATTTATTCCCCCACAGAGTTAGACACGCCCTGGGGGGGGTGGTCCTGGGGATTGGGAGGAAAGCCGGTAGCCCCGCCAGTGAGGGCACGAGAGAGCCCAGCCTTATGCTCAACTCTGCTTTCCTTCCAGGCTCTACAAGCCCCTGTACATAATACAGGTCTTCGTTCTTGCAGGTAGGAGCCTGGGTGCGGGGTGACGGCGGGAGCTGGGGAGCTGGTTCCCGCCTCAGGGCCACCCCCACCTCTTACCACCTACCGGGGCTCCCAGGGACCTCAGTCAAGGCTGCGCTTCTATCCCTTTCTTCCCTTCCCTTCTTTCTGCCCTTCGTAGTGAAACTAGGATTTGAACCCACGTTTGATTCTAAAACCCGTGCCTCCCCTGCTCCCCAGAAAACCCAGGAACCAAAACCCCCACAACCCAACGTCCTACAGCAGTGATCTTCCAGTTTTTGCTTGCATTCCTTTTGAAAAGTCATATATCGCGCATACATTTAATATCTAACATCTTTCGTTACAAGTTCATTTTATTTTATTTTTTTTATTTTTTTATTTTTTTTAAATTTATTTCTAGGAGAGAGAGAGAGAGAGAGACAGCGTGAGCAGGGGAGGGTCAGAGAGAGAGGGAGTCACAGACTGAAACAGGCTCCAGGCTCTGAGCTGGCAGTCAGCACAGAGCCCGACGCGGGGCTCGAACCCACGAACCGCGAGATCATGACCCAAGCGAAAGTCAGACGCTCAACCGACTAAGCCACCCAGGCGCCCCACAAGTTCATTTTAAAAGGCTATGATTTCTGGTATGTTGTAAATACTGACATTTTAGTGATTACATCGCTCTTTTAAACGGTTTCACTGGTCTTTCTCCACCCGCCCGCAGGAGTGGCATACTACTATTTTCAGGAGTCTGTGGGGAAGCCAGCCCCGGACCATGAGATCGCTGGGGAATCCGCACAGGTAGGCACTGCGGAGGCCTAGAGGCCGGGATGGTCTCCCTGTAGCCTGAACAGGGGTCACGCTTCTTGAGCTCAACTGTTAACCGACTGTGTGTGTACGTGTGTGCATGCGAGGGCTCTGCAGAAATTCGCTGTGTTTCTGGCAAAGTGTCAAAACAGAGGCCCCACCTTCCCCGGGTTGGCTGGCTGGTCGCCCCCGGCCTCTGTGGCAGTTGCCTCCACCATCCAAGAGGAAAAGATGACCCCTCATTCATTTGAGTAGCCGTGGAATGTGGCTCAGCGCCCACGGGTGAATGAGGTGGTGGCGAGCAGGACACCTGCCTGGGGTCGCATTCTCTCCTCCGTGTCCCAGATCCACGAACCTATGGCGGAAGCCCCCGCCCCCATCCCTGGGTCAGAAGAACACAGATGCTGGACGCTCACCCAGGGCCACGTGCTGGATTACGTGCTGTCCATCTGTTACGTCATTTAAGCCTCACGGCAACCCAGCAGCTCACACTTTATACAGATCTAGGCCCAAGAAGGACTAGATCCAGGCTGCCCAAGTGACAGCACAGAACCACATACCTGATCTCTGGGGGCCTCCTCTCTGCACAGCGCTGTTGGGAAGAGAATCCCATCGAAACAAGGTTATCGGCGGTGCAGAAACTCTGAGAAGTATGTGCTCCACCTTCTGGGGTGACCGTTCAGAGGTGGGGAGCCCCTAAGAAGGCCCATGTTGGCAGGTACCTTGGAGAGCACCGAGTCCAACTTTACCTCCTTTCTTTGTCGTTGCTGTTTATTTTAAAGTAACCAGTCAAATTCCATTTAATCGTTTTATTCTCACGGCACCTGGTGACTCATAGGGTTAAGCGTCCAACTCTTGATTTCAGCTCAGGTTGTGAGCTCATGATTTATGAGATCGAGCCCCAAGTCGAGCCTGCTTGGGATGCTCTCTGTCCCCCTCTCTCTGCCCCTCCTCCACTCGCTCTCTCTCTCTCAAAAATAAAAACAAACACTAGTCAGTGAATTCCTACAGTGGAAGCTGAGGATCTAGCTCTTGTAACAACCGCACATCTACTGCCCCTCCAGCATGCACTTCACCTCCCTCAGCCTTCTAGTACAGATAGCTGTAGCCTTGTTTTGAGGTTGTAAAATGTTGAGTAGTGACGTTTTCGATTGTTAGTCTTTTAAATAACATTGATGTTTCGCTGATTTTTATATCATTTTTAGCTTTAAGTCCCCCTCCACAGCAGTGGGCTCTTGTTTACTTTTTTAATGTTTATGTTGAGAGAGAAAGAGACAGATCCTAAGTGGGGGAGAGGCAGAGAGAAACACACACACACAGAATCTGAAGCAGCCTCCAGGCTTGAGCTGTCAGCACAGAGCTCGACGCGGGACTCGAACCCACAAACTGTGAGATCATGACCTGAGGTGCAGTTGGACGCTCAACCGGCTGAGCCACCCAGGTGCCCCAGGGGGCCCTTTTTTGACAGGCATAACCAGCGCAGCTCCATCCCTTCGAACAATCCGTCTGGTGAAGAGTTTACCGTTCCTGTACTTCGCGGTAGCCAGATTGTTCTGGAAGTGGAGGCATCCCCGATGCAGCCTGGGCTTCCGGCCTCTCGCTGCGTGGTGCACCTGAGGCCTCTTTGGGCGCATGCGCAGCAGTAGTTTGTGGCTTCCAGCGGAGCAGGCAGCTTCGTGGGGATGGACAGCGGTTTGTCCGCTCACCACTTGAGATATTTGGGTGTTTCTAGTTTGGGACCATTACCAAAAAAACCCGCTGTAAATATTCGTGCACAAGTTTTGTGTTGACATAGGTTTTCCTACCACGTGGGTAAATACCTGGCCCCCCATTGGAGGGGCGCCTGGTTAAGGGTGCATTTAGTCCTGCGAGAAAACCGCGACTTTTCCAGGGTGGTCGCTGCCGTTCTGCGCTCGCACCAGCAGCGAATAGGAGGTTCCGGTTGCCCCACATCCTCCCCAGCACTTGCTGTTGGGTTTTAGCCATTGCAGTGGGTGCGTATCATAGTTCTCATTAGACAGCAGTGAGGGTTTACATTTTTTTTTAACTGTGAAAATAATACTCCTAGCGGTCGAGTAGTGTACCATGGCCACTCTTCGAGTGTGATTTTTGTCTTGTCTCTTTTTTAGTTTTCCTTCTACCTACCATTAATTTACCCAAGCTCTCTGCCCCCCAAAAATCAATCTCCTTGCAATACATTTAGACAAATTAGGTGCTTTATCAATATGATGTTTTCATGGAGCCTCCCTCCCCGTTTCCATGTGGACAGGATGCCCCACACCCTGCTCACCCCTCAGCTGTCCTGGGGCCTCCCTTTCTCGTGGATCTGGGGAGCGCTCCACCCCTCCCATGTGGGGGTGCCCCCGTCACTCCTTCGTTTTGGTGGGACCCAACCTCTAGGAGAACCCCTGCTTCCTGAGGGGGACGTCTTTAGCTATATTACATATCTGAAACAGTCTTAAATCATATTTGTCTAAGAGTTTGGATAGATACAGAATTCTAGACCAGAAGTATTTTCCTCATAGAGTTTGAAGATCTTCGTTGTCTCCTGGCTTCAAAGACTTTCGAAGGAAAGTCTGAGGAAGGTTGAATTCCTAAAACAGGCTTTTTTCCCCTTTGTATTTCTGGAAGTTTTGAGGTTCCTTGTCCTCTGTGTTCTCAGATGCATTAATGGGAAGCTCTGGGGTGGGTCCCCGTCATCCATTGTCCTGGACACTTGGTGATTCCTTCTCTTCTGGAAACTCACTTCCCTCATCTTTGGGAAATTGTCTTGATTAAAAAAAAGGGACGTATTTATTTGGTATCTCTCTCCTGCCACCTCAGTCTGTGGTTTCTGTTCCATCTCTCAGAAAGAGCTGTGATTTAGCTGGGGGAGCTCCTGATCTCTTCGTAACTGTTCTTTCTGGAAAGTGTTTTGTTTTTTTCAACTTGACCTTCCACACTTGGACTGGATTTTTCATTTCCATGATTATAGCATATTTTTGTGTGCAAGAGTTAGAGGTTTTTTGAGCATTTCTGTTTTACAGCCTATTTTTGTTTCATGAATGCAGAGTTTTAAGCTTCTAAAACCATCATTTCTTGTTTGTTTGAACTTCTCAGATTACTGGAAGTTTTTAGGTGTCTGCGTATGTGGATTAGTGTGTAGCTGAGGTGGCCCTTAGATGTCACCTCAGCCTTCCCTCCCTCCTCTCTCTCCTTGTCATGCAGCCCATAGGGGAGACCTTAAGGCCAGTGTGGGGGCTGATGGATAAGTGTTACCCTGTGACCACTCAGGTAGGTGAGGGCTGGGGACCCCTCTTCCCCTGGAGCAGGGTGGCTGTCCCGGGCATCCTGGGTGGGTCCAGCGGGAGGAGGGGCGAGGCAGGGAAGGACCCCCGCCCCTCACAGCTGTGTCACTTCTGTTTTCCTCTGTAGAGACGCAGAGTCAGGAGTGGGAAGAAGCAAGCCTCTGAGGTAAGTGAGGCTCGCTCCTGTCAGAGCCCCACGAAGGGCAGGGACACCCCAGCTCGCGGCAGGGGAATCCCAGGGACAGTGGCAACCCCTCCCCCCGGAAACTCCCCACTCACTGAGCAGGGAAGGACTTCCTGGGAAAGACAGTAGTGTACACAGTCCAGGTGCAGAGAACAGGGAGGGACGAAGAGGCGATCTGAGGCCCTTTCGGCCCGCATCCCACCCTCCTGACCCTCCCCGCAGGCCGTGCCCCCCAGGGCAACAGGAGGACCGAACGGTGCTGCCGAGGGGGAGACGGACGTCTTGTCTCAGCATGAGGGGGCGGGGAGGGCCCCAGAGGCGGGAGCAGCCGGCCCCGTTGCTGCCGGGAAGGAGATGGCTGAGGAGGAGGAGGAGGAGGTGGCAGGGATGCGAGGCGGGGAGGTAAGAAGCCCGGCGCCCCAACGGGAACATCTCCAGCAAGGGTCCTACTGAGAAGCACCGCAGGGTGCACTGCAGGGTGGGGGCCGTGAGGGGACGGCGGTGTTGGGGTGGGGGGGCGATGGGCACTCCCAAGACCACTGGGCCGTGAGCAAGGAGCCCTGCGGAGCCGAGAGGCAGTGGTCCTGGTATCTGCAGGAGTGGGTCTGAACCCTGCCTCTCTTGACTTCCTGTGAAGTGAGGCCTTGGTTTCCCCATTCGCGTAGCGTAGACCTGTCCTCGCCCACCACTGCGTCCTTTCTTTCTTCCCAGGAAGATAAAAACGTCCGTCAGGAGATTGCAATATACCGTGCCGGTAAGATGGCAGGCCCCGGCCCGGTGCAGGACTGTCCCTCCCCGACCTCAGCGACCCTGCAGCGGCCACAGATCGCTCCTCTCAGACCTCCTGGCCTGGGTGGGGAGGGGAGGGAAGAAGTCCAGGGAGCCTGATGCCCCATCCTCCCCGAAGCACCCCCTGCCTCCTGCTTCCTTCCTGGTAGCGGGAACCGAGGCCCCGCCCCCCGGGCTGGAGGACCAGCCGGCAGGTTCTGGGCCTGTTCCCTGAGGCGGCCTGGTCCTGGGGAAAGGCCCTCCCGGCAAGGGACCCACAGGCTTGCCTGTCTGTGCTTTCTAGAGGCCTCTGAAGTGGAGAGAGAGGAGGAAGGGCCTGGGGCCTGGGTGCCCCAGCTGCTCAAGAGGCTCTGGCTGGGCTGGTTCCCGGCCTCGGACACCCGGAAGCCTCGGAACCACGAATGACAAAGTACCCAATAAATCCACAGAGTTACTGCTTCTGCAGGCCCAGCTGCCTCCTTTCAGAGGCTTCGTGTCTTCAAAAACCCAGTGAGGCCCTGTCCACACCCCCTGTCCTGACAAGGGACAGGAACACCACCTCCTGCCACTGAACCCTGACACATCAGATACTCCAGACAGACTCAGTGCCAGGGGACAGCCAAGTCCCCTGCGTTCGGAGAGCAGGGAGCGCCATGTCACGGAGGCGTTTAGGAGCTGCCGGTGGGCCCTCTGTCAGGGATGCTGTTGGGTGGGGGTGAGGAGGGTCCTCTGGTAAAAGGAAGCCTCAGGGAGGGGGGAACTTCTGACCTGAGTGTCTGTGGTCCCCAAGCTGTTCCCTAAATGCACCAGGGGGTCCGTGCAGGACTTGGCTAAGCAGCCCACTCTCAGAAGCCGCCAGGTGCTGCCCAGGTGTGCAGTCCAGAACCGGCCGACTGTGGGGGTGGGGACGGGGGTCCTGCTCCTGGTTGGGGCTCCAGGCTAACGGGGTCATAGCCCCAGAGGTCAGAGCAGGAAGACAGGCCCCGGCAGCCACCTGATGCCACCGTCTCATTGGCTAAAGGGGAAACAGAAGCCCAGGGCAGGAGAGGGACTGGCCCAGGGTCACGCAGTGTCCTGGCAGAGCGAGGACGGAAGCCAGGTGTCCTCCTCCAGGGTCTCCACATGGCCTCCTCGTCCTCTGACCATCCCACTGTCACTTGGGCCCAAGGTTGACCCCGTCCCTGGGGCATGTCTGGGGCCCACAGGTCTCCCTGCCTACCCCTGGCCAGGTCTCCCGAGAGCCCGGCCTGACCCAGCCACTCAGGGGACTGTGCCCTAGGTTGGGGCCCGGGTGAGTGTCGTCCTGCCCCAGCCTGGCCACGCCTGACCACGTGCCCGGACACAAGCATCCCTGGGGGGCTGGGAAAGGGGGCTCATCCTAGTTTGGGGTGACTGGGGCTCAGGGAGGTGGCGCACTCCTGGACTGCCATTAGGCTGCCCAGGGAAAGCTCTGGCGCCTGAGGGCTGAGCCCTGGGTGTTAAGCTGACACATCCTTCCTGGCCATCCCTGAGCTCCTCACTTTGGGGGTGTTGAAGCTGAGGGGGGTGCAGAGGACATGCTGGTTGCCGGCTGAGCCGCTGGCCAGTGGGGTGGGGTGGGCAGTGCTGGACCTGAGGTGTGGGCGTCCCGGCTGAGTGCGGTCCTCCCCACCCCCACCGGGGCCTGGCTGAGCCCTCTCAGCAGCTGGCTCTGGCTCTTCCTGGCATGGGCTAGGACCCTGCACATTGTCATTAACCAGAGCGGCCAGTACTGGGTCTCCGTGGGTGACTAGAGGGCAAGCTCGTCATCTTCTGACCCTCAGTATACCCACCTCTCACATGGGCTCAAATACAAGGTAAGGATGGATAAGGCAGGGGTAGGGGTTGGCCCTGGGGAGGCAGCCGAGGCCCCATCCCTGCCAGGGGCTGGTCAGGGGGGGGGCCCTGGCGGGACTCCAAGACTCCAGGACTCGGGAGCCAGGCTGGAACCGCCAAGCCGGTTTATTGCATGTCCGGGCCCCTGCTGAGGAGCCGGTGGGGGGGAGGGGGAGGCTGCTGCTCCTAGCGGGGCACGGCACAGAGCTGGTAGGCGTGTGGGATCATCAGGAAGGAAAAGACGCCGTGGTCGCTGGGGCGGGGCTGCCCCTCAGGCGCCGAAAAGCTGAAGCGCTGGAGCAGACAGGTGAAGAAGAGGAAGAGCTCCATGCGGGCCAGGGGCTCCCCGAGGCATGTGCGGCGGCCTGTGGGCGGGTGTGGGGGTGCTCAGTGAGCCTGGGGGCCTGGGCTCCATCCTCCAGGACTCCCTTGGGAGGGGGTCAGTGAGCTGGGCACCCCGGGTACCTGCAGAGAAGGGCATGAAGGCCTCCTGCTTGACAAACTGGCCCTGGCCATCCAGGAAGTGCTCGGGGTGGAAGCGGAAGGGCTTCTTCCAGACCGTCTTGTCCTTCAGCACTGATGACAGGTTGGTGATAAGTGTTGTCCCCTGGCAGGAGATGCCTGGCATGGGCGGGGTCTAGGCGATGGGACGCCCGGACCCCGGCCACCACACATGCAGGGGTGCACACTCTGCCAGGCACACGCGGGACTCTTTCAAATGACCCCCTGGAGCTGCCCGCCACCTTCTCTGTCCCCATGGTGGGACCAAGTGACTCCCCACCCACGGGGGTCCGCACTGCCGCCTGTCCCTGTGCACAGGCTCCTCCAAAACACTGTGCAACATTTCAGTCTGTCTGCCCCCCCTGACTGGCGGCTCTGAAGAGTCAGGCCGCCCAGCCTCTGCTCCCATCCCCCACGCCTGCCTGGGCTGGGACGGTCGCGCCTGCGGAAATGAGCACTGGGTGACTTGGGCTCCAGTCCCCGCCTTCCCTGGCCTTGGCTGTGCTGGAGCATGCGTGTGGAGACCTACCTTGGGGATGTGGAAGCCCTGCACTTCAATGTCCCGGGATGTCATGTGGGGCATGCCCAGTGGGACGAGGTCCCCAAAGCGCTGCACCTCATGGATCACGGCCATGGTGAAGGGCATGCGGGTCTGGTCCCCCATCTCTGGTCGCTGCGCCGGCCCCAACACCTCGTCTATCTCCTGTTGGACACGTCCTGGACAGACCAGCATCCCCACGGTGGTCAGAACCCCACTGGGGTCCGACCTCTGCCTGACGCTCTGGAGGAGGCCGGTCTTACCCTCGAGCCAGGGCCCAGCCTCTGCTCAGAGCTTCGAGGGCTAAACCAAGCTTACGGGGCCCCAGCTGGTCCCTCTTCTCCCTCATCCATGCCATCTGGGCCCCGGGCGGAACTCACGCTGCACGTCCGGGTGCAAGATCATGAGCAGCAGGGCCCAGGCCAGCGTGACTGAGGTGGACAGCATCCCAGCAATGAACAGGTCGGATGTCACCAGGAGCATGTTCTGGTCATTGAAGCTGGTCTCAGGGTCCCCCCTCGCCTGGGCCATGCCAAGACGGTGAGCTCGGGCAGAGGGAAGAAGCCCCCAGATGGCCTCCCACCCTGCGCCCGTCACTGATCACTGGGTGATGTATAGGCCCCACCTTCCTGGACCTCGGTTCATGGGGTCCTCAAACCACCACCATTGTCCCTGACACCTCACCTTTTCCACCTCATCCAGGAAGGCGTCAGTCAGGTCTCGGGGTGGCTGGGTCGGGTCTCGGGTCATCCTGTGTTCCTGGACTAGTTCGTCCAGGAGGGTCATTAAGGCCTTCTGCCCTGAGAAGACCTTGCCAGCCAGCCCCGGGATGTGCAGGAGCACGGGGATGTGGTTCAGGGCCTGTGAGGGCCACACACGGGGGACCTTCCTGTGCTCAGGGGTTCACCCTGCTCAGTCAGGTCCCCGCCACCTCCAGGGTGTCCCCACCACCTCCAGGGTGTCCCCACCGCTGACATGTTTCCTCCCTAAGTTCGGGCCTTGATCCTCTCACCTGGCTCGGGGCCCAGAAGGATAAATCTAAACCCTAGATCTCGTGGGCGCTCGTGGCTTCCAGCGGAGGAGGCCCAGGCTCCTTCCTTGGCCGCCTCCTGGGCTCCTGCGATTTCCCCACCTTCTCCAGGCCTTTTGTCTTGGAAGCCTTTCTCCCAGGCCCCTCTGGACTCCCCCTTGCTCCCCCCCACCCCCGGGGGCCCCATTCTAGGGCGGAGCTCGCCCTGCAGGGCCCCTTGGCGGCCGCGCCCCGCACCTCACGCAAGAGGCCGCTTTCCTCCTCCAGTCCCTGCTGCATTAGGACCATCAGCCTGTGGAGGCGCGGGTCGTCGTACTCGAAGCGGCGCCCGTAGGTGAGGGAAGCGATCACGTTGCTCACAGCTTTATTCAGCAGGGTGCTGGGGCTAAGGGGGCGTCCTGAGAGGGGGCGGGGCGGGTCAGGGGGTCTCCTCCATCTCTTCCCCAGCCGCTCCGTCCCGGTCTCCAGTGTCCCTCGGCCCCGACACGCACCGGCATGCTTGGCGAAGTCTGCACAGAGGCACGTGGCCTCCTCGGTCACCCACTGCTCCAGGGACTTCTTGCCCAGGCCGAAGTTGCGCAGCGTGGACAGGCAGAAGCGCCGCTGCTCGCGCCACGCGCGCCCGTAGCGCGCCAGGAACACCCCTGGGGGCGGGGCGGGGCGGGGCCGTGGGCGTGGTTTTGGCGCGCCCGTCCGGCGTGCTCAGCCCCGCCCCGTCCGCAAGGCCCCGCCCCTGCCTTGTTCCCAGGCCCGGCCCCCTGTCCGCCCACACAAACCTTGCTCCCCACCCCCACTAAGTCGCGCCCGCTTTGCCACCCTCTTGCCGCTGGGGACCGACCTCTCTGCCTGCCCGCCAGCTCTCTTCTGCGGGGGGCAGGTGTCGGCATCAATCTGCTCCGCCCACCCTGACCCCTTCCCAGTCGGGGAAAGTCCCGGCCCCGCTGCGGCCTCGCCCATACCGACTTCCTTCGCCTCGTTCCCGCCCACCCTGACTTCCTTTTCGTGCTCGATCCGGCCCTGGGCCCGCCCCTTCTCGGTCAGGCTCCGCCCTCATCCTCCCCTGCGCGACCCCGCACTTGGCACCAGGCCCTTCCTCCACCGGCGGCCACGCCACATTCGCTGACTCTTCCCTGCGCTACACGTCCACGATCCTGCCTCCGCTTGGCTCTGCCGGGTCTTGAGTCACCACTGCTGGCCCGGTCCCCGCCAGACCTCGGTCTGCCCCCCTCCTCCGCTTGCCTTGGGAGCGCGGCCCGAACCCCAGGTGCTCGTAGATGGGCATGGGTGGGCGGTCGGCAGTGTCCTCGCTGTGGTAGACCAGAGCCTCGCGCATGGCCTCCAAGCCGTTGAGCACGACCACGGGCGTCCAGGCCAGTTGCAGGCTGAACACGTCCCCGAAGCGGCGCCGCAGCTGCAGGCCGAGGGGTGCCGGCGTTCGTCAAGCCCGTCCCCACCCAGCAGGCTGCGGCTTGCCTTGGGGCGCCCCTAGGCCACGGGCATGCTGCCGGGGCAAGGGCGAGATCTGGCCTCCTGACCCCGGAGGTCACATTGTCAATGGAGGAGGACCTCACACCGCATCAGACCTCTCAGCTAGGACTTTGCAGAGGTCACCAAAATTGTCAGTAGGCCAAGTTAGGGTCCCATTCTACAGGGAAGAAACTGACGTTTATAGAGGTGAGCACTGAGACCCAAGAGACCACAGCAGCAAAAGAGTTGAAACTGTCACTGTAATTATGTCACCCTTGGTTTGCTGGTATCTGACTTTGGCTCTGGTCATGATCTCACTGTTTGTGAGTCCGAGTCCTGCATCAGGTGAGCTCGAGCCCCGATTCGAGTGAGCCCTGCATCTCTCTCTCTCTGCCCCTCACTCGTGCCCTCTTTCAATAAATAAATAAGATAAAAGTAGAAAATGGGCCTCGTGATGAGACTCCTTCCCCCATTCTCAACACCTTTTCTCCTGACGTAATCAGAAGGGACCCAGGCCACACAATGTAAGCGCTGTCCGACGGGATCTCCAATCCACTGCCAAGCCCACACCCCGCTCCAGGCCTTTGCCCTCTTTGATCGGAAAATCCCAACCGTCCTTCGGGCCCTGCACAAAGGCCATCGGCAGTAAGCCTCTCGCACCTGGCTCCTGTGCTCGGCCCATCTCCTGGGGCTCCCCCCCCCCCCCCGCTGTGTGCTGCTAGGTGGGGTTCCCGCCCCCATCTGCTGCTCCCCGCCTCCCGCCTTCCTCACCTGGTCAAAGTAGCAAAGTGTGTTCTGGAAGTCCATCTGCAGCAGGTTGCCCAGCAGAGGCAGCGGCACGGGGCCTGGCGGGAAGCGGGCAGCCCAGAATCTGTGCCTGTGCCGGAGGTCCACCAGAAGCAGGAAGATGGCCACGGCTATGGCCAGCGGCCCCAGCGCGTCCCCGGTCAGCAGCCCCATGGCTGCCTCCGGGCCCGCTGGGCTCCTCTGGCACACTGGTGCTCCTCGCCACACCAGGTGCCCAGGACCCGGCCAGACGGGGCACCCTCACCGCACTCTGCGAGCTCAACCAGCCTGGCCCCACTTTCTAAAGAAGCCGAGATCGGCCTTTGCCCTCCGCCCTGAGTCAACATGTCAGGGCGACTGTGCGGCCAGAGGACGCAAGCGGGGGGCCAAGGAAGGTCAGGTGCAGGTGTGGCCACCGAAGTCCTGTCCCTCTTGGACTGTCCGGGTGCTTCCCCAGCGTAGTGGGGTGAGATTAGGGGAGAGATGAGAAGCCCACCCCTCAGCCTGACTCCGCAGCTCTGTTACAGGCTCCGAGGAAAAACCTGGGGTCATTGGACTTGATTCTGCCATCCACCTGTCATATAAGGTCGCATCCCTAATGCGGTCACAGCCTTGACCCCAGAACATGCCCTTGTCTTCTCGTATGTTACCTGCCCCCTCCCAAGTTTGTTACTGGCACTTGCCCGGTGCCTTAGGGAGGTCACAGCGATCAGAAGGACCACGGCAGGGATGACGTTCTTGGTGTCCCCTTACTTCACACTACTTCACTCAACACACAGAGAACCACACAATCACAACCCACTCACACAGTCACAGACACTACCCACACGCTCGCACACTGACACGCAATCACAGCACACATTTACACACCCACAAAGCCACGCACCACTTAAACACACACACACTCGGACCCAGCACCGAGTCACCCTAGCTCCCAGTGGCTGCCCAGACCGCACCCCTGCCTCCTGCCTCAAGGCTGCCCGCGGTGGTGCTGTGGCCCCTCGCCTGGTAGGCTGGGGGCGCAGCTTCCTCAGTTCTGGCCTGATCTTGGCCTAGTGAGTTTACATCTGGGGCTGGGGAGGCAGCCGGTTGTTTTCGGAGCTCCCTACTCATCCTGACCCACCAGTTCGAATGGCCTGGAGATGTATGTCCTTCATGCCTGTCCACTTTCCGGGGTCCCCCCTGGCTCCAGCCCTGAGCTTTCCAGTCCTGACTCTGAGGTCCTTCCAGGAAAGAGCCACACCTCTGTACCACCCGCACCAGGCTGGAGTCGTGCCTACCAGACTCTCCTCTTGCTCAGTCTCTCTGTCCCCCTGTGTAGGGGGGTGACCACACTGTGCCCAGCCTCCCGCTCCTTCAACAATGAAAGGGGTGGGAATTGAAGCTGAATTGTTAAATCCGTGAGGCTGGTGGGAATCGGAGGCCAAAACTTGCTCAGATGAGAAGGTAGTAGAACCCAGAGGGTAGGGAGGGGCATTTCCCGGGTAGGGGTCAGGCCTCTTCACCCATCCCAGGGGTGTGTGAGGCTCACTCTCATTCTGCAAACAGCTGGAGTATTCTCCCTCCCAGCTGAAGCAGGGCCTGGGGGAGGTACCCCCTACCCCCACCCCATGGCCCCCCAATTCTCTCCTTCCTTCTCCTTCCCCAACCGTAAGAGGACCAGGATCTTCCCGGGGCGCGCCCTCTGACATCCCTGGCTCAGAGATGCCATTCACAGGTGGCAACCTGGGGTCATGTGGCTTCCAATGTTCGCAGTTCCTGCTCGGCTTGTGGAAGCTGCTTCCTTCCCCAATTCCCACATCCCTACTCTCCTGCTGGGCCCAGGGCCTTGTCTGCTGGCGCCCAGCTGGGCCTTCCCTGCATCTCGCCTGGGCCAAGTACTTGGTGGGCTTGGATTCTGTCCCACACACGCCGGAGGTACTACCTGATGGGTACTGGCTGCTTGGCTAAGTACTGGCAACACAGTGGGAAGCCGGTGGTGGGTTCTGCGCCAAGGTGCTCAGGACCCGGAGGAGGCCAGGCCAGCAGTGTGGGGACAGCTTTCAGGGTCATGGGGACACTGCCCCAGGCGGGAGCGGGGCTTTCTGGAGGACTGTGACAGGGCTTCAAAGTACTGTGTGCGGGGGGTGTGGGGCAGCTGGAGAAGGCGGCTCTGCAAGTCTGCCTGAGGTCTGGACTGTGAGAAACTGGGGCCTCTGGGCTTCCAGGAGGCACGGAGACCACTTCTGAGGCCACCGGACAGAGCAGGAGGGCAGGACCCCAGGCACCCTGGGGCCTCTGACCGGCCTCGGCTGCCGCTCCTGTTCCGTGAGCGGCGACTCACTACCTGGATTGCCGGTCAGGTGGTGTCAGCACAGGGAGCAGAGGGTCCGAGCGCTGGGTCACACGGGACCTTTGATAAACTACCCTCATCTACCCTTCCCTTTCATTACATCATGCCCTCCCCAGTCAGTCACCCTAATGGGGTTGTGAAGGGTTGTAACAGGCCTCCCCGAATCAGGGGCCTGTTGTCCAGGGCGGGGTGGCCTCGTGAGGCCTGTGGCCTTTTGCAATCATTGTGCAATCACAGCTTTGTGTGACAAACACTGCTCTTCACGTGTCCCCTCCCCGGCCCCTAAGGCTGGTGGCTTCAAGTTCATGACAGGGGGTCAAAGTCATAGAGCAGCATCAGGGTCCGTTTCAAAATGCGTGCTCTGAGTTACTGTTCTACGCTGGACCGAAACGTCTCCAAGGGCCAGCACTGGAGTTACTGGGATTTATTAACAGACACACTCGTGCCGCACCCCCTCCCCGCCATCCAAGTCAGGTGGTGAGGCTGCTCAGGTGAAGGGGAGATGTGTGAGCGCTTCCCGGGGACCACATGTGGCACCGTTCACCTGCGCAGGGGGAGATGCCACCGACACGGCGCAGACCAGGAATTGCCCACCCCCGGCACCCGTGCGGCAGGGGAGCTTCGGCACCCAGCGAGGGCGCTGGGTACGTTGGTGGCATTTTGCTGGCCATGAGCCCTCCCCCTCCCCGCAGTGTGGCAGTGCCCACGGAGGAATCCCCCAAAATTCCTGGGGACAGAAAGGGGCAGAAAGTCAAAGCGGACCCTGTGTGCCGCCTGCTGGGACACACGGGTCCGGACCTCGCACCTGTCGCTGAGGCAGCAGCCCCGCATGCCTGCGATCAGGTGGTGCCTGCGATCAGGTGGAGAAACCAGGTGGCCTCCGCAGCTCCTGTGGCCAAGTGCAGGGGGCGCGAGGGGCCCACCTCCCAGAGGTGTTTTAAAGGTACAGGGCTTTGGCTCCGCACAGCAGAAGGTTCTGATCGGCCGCACAACAAGGCAACGATACTTAACACTGCTAACTGCATTCTGGTTAAGATGGTAAGTTTTGTTTTTACCCACAATTTAAAAATTACGAAAAAAAAAAGTCCTATTATCACATTGCACACCTATTAGAAAGGCCAAACTCCAGAACCCCGACGATGCCAAATACTGTTCAGGACGTGGAGCGACAGGAACTTCCCCACGTGGCCGCTGAGAAGGCAGAATGGCACGGCCACTGCGCAAGTCAGCCGGTGGCTCCTTACAAAGCGAGACCTTCTTACCACGTGATCCGGCGAGATCCTCGATACTGACCCCGAGGTGATGCCACCTGACACCTGCGCACACGGGTTTATAGAGGCTTTGTTCACACTTTGCTGAAACTGGGAAGCAACCAACGTCTCTTGGTCGGTGAGTGAACTGTGCTACGTCCGGACGATGGAATATTCCCCAGCACTAAGAAAGAAATGAGCTGTCAAGCCGTGAAAAGACACGGAGGAACCTTGAATGCATTTTCACTAAGTAAAGGAAGCCAATCTGACAAGGCCACATACTGTAGGATTCTAACCATATGACATTCTGGAAAAGGCAAAACTATGGAGACAGTGGCTGCCAGGGGCTGGGAGGAGGGCTGGCGGGTGGAGCACGGAGGACTCGGAGGCCAGTGAGCCTGCTGTGCGTGGTACCCTAACCGTGGATACGGGCCACCACGCTATCCGTCCAAACCCACGGAGTGTGCGCGACACCAAGAACGAACAGGAATGTTCAGTACGGGCTCCGGCCGGCGACGGTGGGTCAGTGTAGTAGGATCACCACTTGGCGGGGGCAGGCTGTGTATGGGGGCCCGGGAATATATGGGAATATTCTGTAACTTCTGCTCAACACTGCTATGAACGTAAAATGCGTGCGCTGGGGCTTCCTGCCCGGAGGGTGGAACGTGGCCACGCCCCAGGTAACGGTCATTTCAGAAGCCAGTTTGAGGCGAGTCCTAGAATCATCACAAGTGCCTCACTCAAGTGTCATCAGCAAGTCAAAAGGGGACAGAAGAATAAAAGCCAAAATGACAAAGAATCATTTGCCATTGGGAAAATATTTTTCTCAAGATACGGATTTTCCAAGGTTTGTGGTTTAGCCTCTGACACCTGAAATCTATCAATTTCACTTGAACTGTGTTGACGCCAAGTCAAGACCAGACGGAAAGCCGCGCGGCTCAGAAGGCCGTCATTTCCATGCAGGTCCCACAGCCGCGCCGCACACCCACCCGCGCCTCCGTCCTGGCGAGCGAAGTGAGAAATGGGCTGCGCGGCTTGATGGAGCCATTAAAACAGAATTAATCTGCCGTTTCTGCAGCCCCGAACTGATGAGCACACAAGAACTCATTTATAATTGCTTATTTCTACTTCACAACATTCCTTCCAGGATTTCTCTTCTCTAAAAAAGTCCATTAGCATCGCATTATTTTTTTATAACCTTTAAAATTAATGTGGATTGGAACTCTGTCCTCATACCAACCTAAGGAAATCTGCCCGTCCCCACACGCTGGCCCGGCTCCACCTGCCCGGCCGGGCCGCGGAGGAGCCTGGGTCTGTGTCCTTCCCGGGGCGCTGCCAGGGCCACGGGGGGCCGGGGGCCCGGACTCGGCTGGGCAGGCAGGTGGCGGCCTTCCCCCACGTGGAGCAAAGGCGCCTTTGGGGGCTGGGATGGGGGGAGGAGGAGACGCGTTTGCTTTATAGTAAACAAAGAAAAGGAAACAAGGTTAAAATGAAGTTTATTATTTTTTGATTTTTTTTTTTGTTTTTTAAATAAAACTGTTTGTGAAACAGCTATTTTATCCCCACGGCAGAGTGACCCCTGAAAGATGCAC